CATGAGCACTGTAGCACTTAGGAAAGGATACTGCCATGATGCTATAACTACTAATTATGGTTTTGACCTAATACTGCAGAACTGGGGTAACACTGCAATGCTCAATAAAAGTTCATAATGGAGATAGGTGCATCGTACAACAACATTGGAAGTAGCAGTATAGAGCTTAAGTAAATAGAATTAAAATATTATACTTTTTTTTTGAGACTTCAGTGCAATGGTGCCCAATTCTGATGGTGTGATGCTTGATAAGTAAATGTTTTGTCACTCTAAGATTTGGCACTATAGAGTTGGCTTAAATTGGTAAATTATGTAAATTCTTAAAAATTTAATATGTAATTATTTTAGTAATAACCATATTGTGTAACTGACAAGTAATACACATAACATTTTTTTTTTTGAATTAAAAATAATAGAAACACAAAATAAAATAAAAACTTTAATAACAAAACTCGGACTTAACATCAAAAATTTTGGTTGCATCCAAAGTTGTGCTAAGTTTATATTCTTCAGCCAAACTGGCCTAGATATATCAATTTGCTTAGGTAGTATCACTACTACTTCTCAAATGCTCTAAATTTGAATAATTCCCCTATTTTCCTTTAGATTAACAACATTGTTAGTAGGCAAGGTTCCATGGGGTCTACTACTAAAATAAATTGTAGGTTGTCTTAATTGATATTTCAAATTTTAATTAAAGCAGCTTAATTGTATATTTAATTTTTTATTTGAATCTCTATCTCCTCTATAGGGATTTTGTTATTTCTAAACTAATTATTCTGATGAAAGCCCGAGGGATAACAAGTTTTAGTGTTCACTATAGGTTGTTGAGGATTTCTCAATTTTTTTCAAAAATTATATTAGCCTACATTCCTTTGATTATTTTCACTATTATTATTATTCTAGCTAAAGTTAAGGTGGTTCCTCATACATGGATTATAAGTATTTAAATAAATAATTTTTATCTTCCAATCAAATTATATTTTCAATGTATTGAGCATTATTCTCATCAATAGAATTCAAATCATGCTTATGCAGATACATATCTAATCCTAAACTCGAACTTACTCTAAAATTTTTTAACTTCTTAAAAATGATTGCTACCTAGTTGTTAAAATTTTGAAACCTTCTAACTCATAGAAATTTGCTACTCCCTGAGGAATCATCTTAACAGAAGGCCAATGGAAAGTTTTTATTTCCATCTCTTATATCAAGACATAAGCCAATTCAAAAGGTTTTGACATTAAAAAAAAAAAAAAACTCCAACGACCACATTAATAATTTACCTATGGGATCGTAGAAGCCCATTATAATCAGTCTAAATAACCAATAATGAGGGCACTTTCTAAGCAACTCAGATATTTTTCAACTCTAATAAATTGACTCTCCTTCCAACTGGGAAAAAAATATATCATTTCAAAGTTTGGCAGTTTTAGAAAGTGGGAAATACTTAGCAAGAAATCATTTGCCAACTTATTCCAAGTGGTTATGGAGAATAGGAGAAACGAATTCAATCATATCTTAGCATCACCCCTTGGCTAAAATGAAAATAAAAAAAGCCTAATAGTGTCATCACTAAAAATTGTTATACTTTGAATGTTGCATAAATTTCTAGGAGCTAGCTAAGTATAAGATTATATCCATAATAGGAGTTCCCCTAAATTGGACATTTTGAACCATATGAATTAGGATAGATTTTAGCTTAAAGTTACTGGCATGAATGGTAGGTTGATTGATATGCTAATAAATTTCATCTACTATATGATTGGTATACTCCCTAAGAGCTTTAATATGGTCTTAATCATGATTTGGTTCAGTCATTCCTAATGATAAAGTTTTTTTTAATGATTTTTATAAGGGTCCTTTAAATTTTTAAATCAAATAATAAAGTTTCCTTACTAGTTATATTGCAAATACACCAATCACACATGAATTAAATAAAAAAATAATTTAAATAAAACTTGTAACAATAATAAAAATTTTACCTTTCCCAAAAAGTAAGCACAAAATAAATAAATCAGATATATGATATAGGTAGATCAAATATGCATATTTTTTAAACAATATAGAAAGCAATTGCAATAATGCACGTTACATCCCTTGCAATTATGGAAAAAACTTAATGTGGGATTTATGTAAGTATATTTTTTTATGGGTTGAAATATGCTAGGTTTTTTTTTTATATATATAAATCTCCACTAAAACTGCAATTGCATGTGTTGATCAAGTAATAAAAGTGATATGAGAGAGTGTTGATCCAACAAGGAAGGTTGTGCTTTTGTATAATTGTTCTAGTATTGTCTACTATAGATACATGATTTATCCTAAAAAAATGAAAAATTAGGTTTGAATTCTTTTTGAATTTAGAGATAAAGAAGAAAAGTGAAATACCAATAGATAATCTATTTGGACTAATGATTGTGAATCTCCTAAGTTTCCCTAATTAGACTCTTCTAAATTAGTTGTGAATCAGAGCACATACATTCTTAGACTTTTATGGAGCTTGTAAAAATGTAAAGAAAGATTTATTTCCTTCCTACAATTATTTTATTCCTATAGAACCTGTAACACTAAACATCCTATATTTAGGCTGCAAGAGTTTCATTCCAATACTCTTATTGTTTCAATATTACTCCATCGAGGTAATATATCACACAAAATTTTCATTTTACATATAGTCATTGTATATATTAAATTACAATAGAATTATATTGAAATTAATTATGAATTCATTAAAGTAAGAGAGTCTACATTAATAATTATATTAGGTTTTTACAACATTAGTTGAAACTATGAGTTTAGATGGCCATAGAATAAAACAGAACAACACAATTTCTATTTCTTACTAAAAAAAAAAAAAAAAAGAAAGTATCAGAAGAAAAGTGTTAAAGGTTTCACCAAGATTGAAAAATCACAAACCAAGCTAGTACATAAATCCTTCTAAAAGTGAATCTCCCCTTACAACTTTGCTCTGTACACTCGTTTTCCTTTCTCAATGCTTGTTTCTCACTATAATGTTACCCAACCAATCTAAAGTATGTACTTTACTCTCCTTTGACCTCTCCTCTGAGAGAATTATACAAAACTATAACACTTTCTCAAAGAAAAATAGAAAAAGCTATTATACTTATTAAAAAATGACTTAGGCATCGCGACACTCAACAGGTTAGCACTACTGAATTACAATATGAATAAGCTCCTCGGCGCTACTAAGCAGGCTCCATTGCGGTGCTGGAATGATTTTGCATGGCTATTAGCTGCACTATCATGTCTATTGGTTAATTCAATATAGCTTCACATTTTTGTCAACTACTTCGCTCTAAGCTGTAAAAGTTGAGCAATGTGGCACTTGAATGTGTCATTCGGCACATCAACATTGTATAGTTTGGTGCTCCAGCACTGAAATTCCTGAGACTCTAGCACAGCGATGTTGATTTCTAAGACTGCGACATTACGAAATGTTGCAGCTCTGACCTTCACTATGTTGGGGTGCTGAATTAATTGACATTTTTTTAAGCACCGGTGATGTAATATCTTGACATGGTAATGGGACATTGAAGACAATCTAGCACTGATTGCTGGGGTGATACGGTGCTAATTTAACATATGAATTTTTCTCAATTTTCTGAGTCTTTTTTGCACAATATCAACTAAAAACAAACATTATTCATTATAATTTAAGACAATGAATACTACATAATTTTTACTAAATTAGTCTATGGGATTTGAGTAGGTTCAAATGGGCTAACATGGGTCCATTAGGCCAATTGAGCAAAGTAAGTGAGTTGTTTAGCTCAATTAAATTATTCACATGTAATTTGAATCAATTAGTGGATGGATCCAAGTAATTGAGCCCCGTCTGATCAAATTAGCTTGAGGGATTATAATGGGTCAAGTGTAGATTAAATTAGAATAACATGGATCCTAGGGGCAATTGGATCAAGTCAATTCTCAATTGGAGTTATTTATTACGCTATGAATTTATCTAGCTCATAAGAAATGCTTAATTCAAAGCAATTTTATTAGCTTGATTAATTTCATCTAAAGATAATAAGTAGGATTGACCTAGAGATGTTTCTAATCAGTAATACTAAATCAACTTAATTTATGGTTCTAGTTAGGATTTTAACGAAACAATGTTGAAGACTCAACCTACAAAGTGATCATAGAATAAGATTGAAATCATCAAAAGAGTCTATAATAATTCACATGGGTATTATCAATCACACGAGGCTCAAATTTAGGCTTCGGTTGGGAAGATTTTTTTTTTTCTATTTTCTAAATAAGTTTTTCAGTATAAGAATTTTTTGAACTATAATATTTTTGTATTAAAAAATTGCTTTATAAAACATTTAGAAAGCCGCCCTAAACAAAGACTTAAATCTCCTTCAATCATCTCTAATCTAGGCTAGAAGATCAAAGGAAATTTGTGCTTAATCACTTGCAACCATGGGCGCTACAAATTTTATAATCCATTTTTATTTTTACTTTTATAATTAATTTATTTTTAAATAGAAGCGTAGCTAATAACTTTTATTCTTTTATTCACCTTCATATAGCTCTAACTTCTATTAAAATTTTATTATGATAAATAAAAAAATTTTGAAATTATTTTAAGATAAATATAGTATATGTTGAATAAGCTTTTAAATTTAAGATTATTTAAAAAATTGACCATGAAATAGAATTGTAGATAAGTTTATGAATGATAACTTAAGTCTCTTATATTTTTAAAATAATAATAATAATTTATAGAAATTTGTTTTTAGAATGAATTTTTCAAGAAAAAGGCTTTCTGAGAAAATTTCAACTTTTTTTCAATAAAAAAAGATAACACACCGAAGAGACTTTTCAATAATTTTGACTCTTCTGAAAATATTCTCTAATTACTTTCCTATGAACAATATTGATGGAAACCACCTAACGGAAAGACTTACATGACGCGGGATTAAATAATTATAATAAATATATAATATTTAGTGAATAAATACGACAGGTTATATACAAAGTATACAATAAACATTAAAGCGCAGCACAAAGTCTTCCCTGACAGAAGCAGATGTACAAATAATAAATATTTAAAAAATTGAATTCACAAATCAAAATTAAAATCGATCTTAGAAGGGGTGATGTTTGGCATTCCCAAATATTCCGCCGAGCAGTTCTTGCCGGTACGGTAGAAAGCTCCGACGGTAGCTGCCCGCCGCAGGAGGCTGTCCACCGCCGGAGCCAACTTTGCCGTAGTAGATTCGGTGAGCGGTGACGATATCCATTTCTTTCGTAGTCTGGCCTTTTCCCTTCCCGCTCTTCTCCTTCTTCTCAGCCTCTGCCGGTACCGATTTAGCAAAAGAGTTCAAGTTTCGAAGGGTTTTCTTCTCCTTTTCTTTCTCCTTGCCATCCGGCAGCGGAATAACAACAAACCTCTCCTTCCCATCGCTCCGACTCCGGCCAACTACAAGATCCCGAAGCTTCCACCTCCGCGATGCCGACGCTGAGGCTGACGAACCGGTAGAGCTACTCTTACGACAATGATCCGGAGACTGCGGAGCAGAGCTTGCCGGAGCGGCCCACCGGAGCCGCTGATCCATACCCTTCGCCACTGACACGATTGACGAAGACGAAGACTCGGATCCCGACCGCGGCGTATCACGGTTCTCGTATTCCAGAATAAATTGGTCGACACTCTCCTCCAAGTTCTCCTCCTCCGTAGGGTCTGCGTTTTCGCCAATGAGGTCGCGATTAAAGAGCGGATAGGCGGGGAGGATCCGACCGTTGTAGAAGATCTCGTCCGCTGTGGTATCCGGCCAGCTGCCCGGATCGGACTTGATGGAAAAGGCGAACTCGAAATCTTCTTCCTCCTCGCTGACGATCTCCGTCGGTGCAGTCTCCAAGAGCTCAGCGGCGTCGCCGAATTCCACGAAGCCGAGCCTTGGCTCCTCCATTCTTCCTAAGTCGTCCTCTCACTAGGATTCTTTCTCTCTCTCTCTCTGAAATCGTTTATCACGTTGAAGAAGCAATAAGAGGAATAAGAGACTGAGCGGCACATATAAAGAGGAGCCGTGGCGGAATGAATCGTGAGGATGAAGCTACGACTAGTCGCCCCGCGCTAAGTAGGAGAGGGGGTCGCACGGCGAGGTGGCACGTGTGAGATTAATAGGCCGAGCTTTCTATCGGCCATCCTTCCATGCGACTTCCTCGTAATCTAATTTCTGCGAAATGGTGTATCTACCCTTCCATTTCCAGCAGACGGTCTGATTTTCATGAAGATTCCTTTATTGGCGTAAACTAGTAAGTACTCGTTGTGTTCAACGGCGTGGCGTTCCTGAGACTTTAGATAAAATAAATGTGAACGCCTTCGTCACGTGAGAGACTGGAGTAATTTTTTTATTTGTTCCTACGGAAATAATTGCTTAAACAATATTATTCAGGAATTATTTATATTGCAAAGCTATTCTTTTTTTATATTTTTTAATTTAATATTCAATTTTAAGGTCATTTCATAAGAGATAATTTGGAGATATTCATTATCTTATTAATAATTGTAGTATAACTTTCAAGACAAAATGAAAATACATAATAATTTTATTTAAGATGATAAAAATAAATAATAATTATTGTGTATTTTTTTGGAACAAGCGTAAATATTTGCTGTCATTTTAAATGGAGCGTTTGACAGCATAACTAATCCTCGGCGGAATCTATCGAGGTCAACCACTGGCATCAGAACCACAATTATTTTTCCCCACTTAAGAGGGGAGGTTGTAGTTGAGTGTATTCGAATTTGGGATTGGAGGTTCCCAACCATACTCTCCCACCAATTATCCTAAGCCTCGGTACTTTTATTGTGCATATGATTATCTTATTTTATTCTTAAAAATTCAATTTAGCTTTGAGCCTTTAATTTGAACTCGAATTAAATTATTTTTTATATTGTTGTTTTCTTTTTATTTAAAAAATAAATTTTGATAATATTAAATAAAACATTGGAGGGTATTATTTTTTTCTAGTAATGGGATTACGTTTGAAAATGGTTCTTCTAGACATAAATAATTTTACAAAGCTGGATCTGCAGGAATTTCAACTATGTATTATTTTATGCTGCCAATTAGGGGCGTAATTGCGTAGTGTCATGAGTTGGGTCAAGCTCGTCTTAACAAATTACTTATGAGTAAGGTTTCATCAGCTAAAGAGTCAGTCTGAATGAGTTTTGACTTAATCCAGTTAGTGCATCACCTTGATTAATATTTATTACTATAAAATACAATTTAAAATACAATAAAATTCAAAGATTTTAAGTATAAATTAACTCAATATTTAAAAACATGTACGGCTGTCTAAGTCCATTTCTTATTATTTAAATCATAAAAATTAATCTTTAAAAAAATCATAAAATATTTTATTATTATTATTATTTTAATTATTATTATTATTATTTTATTATAATAGTTGCTTGAATTAGAATCGTTCATTAGCTTAATTTGATAAGAAAAGTATTCAACTTGCGAGCTAACTTTAACTCATAGATTTGAATTCGAACTCAAATAAATAATCAAACTAAAAATGAAGACAGAAGTGATTTGAGCTAAACTCTTCTCTTTTAAAAAGTTAGTTTTAGGTGTTGAAGTAAATGGTTTTAAACAGTATAGTGAAAGGCTTATTATCATGTCTGTGGTCAAACAGTTCAACAACATTCCTTATGCCAGTCTAAAGTCTAACAAAAAATTTGTTAGCTAGTTGAGAATCATTATCATAATGGTTAGTTCTATAAATTCTGTCTTCAAAGGTTTTTAAATATTTAGTTATTAAAAGCTTGCCATGCCTTAAGGTCAATAACTATGCTTGTAGTTTCCTATCATCATGTCTTGGGTAATACAAAGACCTATTACATCATATGTTCTCCTTAAGTAATTTAAACCATTTTTATAAAATTATTTTCTTAACTTTGAATAAAATAAATTTTATACACATATATTCTTATGCATGCATGTAATTTTGAATGATCGAAAACATGCCTTTGTTTATAAACTTATGCCCTTAAGATAGAAAGCTATTTAGTTTTTGTATTTTATTAAAGTGAAGCACTCCCTTACCAAGGATTTTTTTATTTAAGAAAAAAAAGTTTAAGATGGGGTCACATAAGAATTGGTCATGCTAAATGTAAAGTTGGCTAGTTACAATAGGATTGCAAGTAAAATACTTGATATCCAAGATCTTAATGTCAAGTTAATTTATAATAAGAAAGGTTTAACAATCCTTAAAATTTTTGGAGTGACTCACAAGCTTTAAGAAACAAGTCCACTACAACAATATCTAAATGTAAAGTATTAGATGGGCTCACATAAGAGATATTGGTCATGCTAAATGTAAAGCTGACTAGTTATATGCTATCACCATAGGATAGCAAGTAAAATACTTGATATCCTAGGTATTAATATCAACTTAATTTATAATTATAAAGGATTAACAAACCTTAAAATTTTTGGAGTGACACACAAGCTTTTTGGACAAGGCCACTACAACAAATTTTTTCTTGTTCAAATTTTCTAACCATATCCGCTCTAATGCAATATATGATGATGGAGGAAAGTCTTCTATTTTATTAATATCTATAAAAGATTAAGGAACTAATTTTTTTGTTTTTAAAGATTTGTAGAGTTTATGATAGAATGATGAAAGGTGTAAATATATATATAGTTAATAATGTCATGCCTTGTCTAATTTTAATTGATTTAAAATATCATTTCAAGTAGTAGGTTGTTTATTGGATAAATAGCTATAACTAAAGGTAGAGAGTTAGGTTAATATGTGAAATTATGATTAGGGAAGATGGTTGGTCCTATTATTCCCTAATTTGACTGAGAGCTATGTGGAACTGTTTGGAATGAGTCATAATTAAGATTTGTATTATTGATTTATTAATCATTGAGGAATTTTATGAAGTAGATGAAGATATTTGAAGAATCTTAATTAGTAGGTGTTTAAGAGGAATAGTAAGTAACTTAGAGAAAATATAAAAATAACTACCTAACAAGCAAAGGAAAATAAAATACTCAAAGACACTAAATATTAAGTAAATAAAAAGAAAATCTCCAAGAAAATATTTCATTCAACAATGATAAATTATTAATCATTTTAGCCTATATTTCTGGATATTGTATGACTCTTGAACAATCACATTTGGTGGAAAAAATTGAGAGAAAAATGGAGGAAAATGGGGTTGTTTACCATTAATAAGGATGAGTCCCAACATTATTTCAATACTTCATCCATTCTTCATTGACTAAACAACCTTTAAGGAAAAAAATTAAAATAGACATAATATTTAAAATATTAAAATATTTTGGCCCTTTATTGGGATTTTGAGATGATTTTTTAATCGGTCCTTTTCCTTTTTTTTTTTTATCTTAGAAAATGTAATTGGTATTTTAGCTTGATAATCTTCATTCACAAGATACTCTATACGATCAGCTATGGCCTAGACATAGATAAATAGTTTGTGCTTAAAATAGTTGTTTTTTTAAAATTGAGTATCTAGACTAAGGGGATTTTATATCCAATAAACCAAAAAATTAATAATCTCAAATAACTTGAATAATATTAGTATTCGCTTAGTAGGCCCGCTTACCACTCATCACTCATCACTTGTTAGTCATCACATATCTTGCCCATCATAATTATTGATTAAATCCAAAGACATAAATGATAAAATTTTAATTAATAATTAAAATAGTTTTTAAACTAAAAAGCTATTCTGACATTCTCCACTTGACTTTTTTTTTTTATTTTTGCTTCATTATAGTAATTTTCTTATTCTTTATCGATCCAACTCAATCTCCAAAGATGCAGGAGAATTAAGGAAATAAATATATATGTTATTATAGTAATGGCCTATCTTGATCAAGCTCAATATGACTTGAGGTAAGAAGGGATAAAGGCACACTCTTTGAAGATCAAGGTGCACTCACCAAGGCTCAATGTTCTCTAGTTAAATGCCAAAGTAGCATCACTAGTAATTTTCTAGAGGCAGCAGAAAAGACTCTACAGAGAATATTCAGGTTTGGTATGAACTCATTATATTCATAATGAACATGCCAAATTCATGATCTCACTCACCATTCGTAACACTTTACTTGTCTCTTATCACTTAAGGTGCCCATTTGCAACACATCACCTGGTTGGTCCACTCATTGTTCATCATACTATATGAAAATTAGCATTTATCGGTTGTCTGACCGCCGATATTAATCGGTAGTTTTTCCGGTGGTGTTTAATAATACACCATCAGAATTATTGGTGGTATAATAATCGTCGGGTACGTCGCTGATTTTCTGTTTGGTTGGCTTCTGATAACTGGCGTTTGAAATGGCTGGTAAGCCGCCAGTAATTAACTGGTGGTCACCGGCGTTATGACCGCCGGAAATTACCGGCTGTTTATACCGCCGAATAGCCTCCAGTAAAATTAACCACAAAAAATTGACCGCCACAATTTGTTTCCTACGCGCTTTATACCGGCAGTTTATAAACCACCCGGAAGCCGTTAGTAGTTTTCAAAACAGCATGAAAAAAATCGCCAGTAATTAACAATTTTCTTTTAGTGTCACTTTTCATTTGTCACTCAGTAAGTTCACTAGTCACCTACCACACATCACTTAACAAGCTCAATCACCACTCATAATTCATCACTCAACAAGCCCACTCAGCACACATCGCTCGATGAGCCCACTTATCTCTTATCACTCAATGGGTCCACTTGCCTCATGCTAATCATCACTCAGTAGGTCCACTAGCCACTATTCACTTATCACTTAGTGTCGCACATGCCAATAGTCGCTCGATAGCCCACTGGCCACTTGTCACTCGGCTAGACCATTTTTCACTTAGCTATATTATATATTACTTAGTAGACCCATTTATTAGGCTCAATATGTTGGTTCTTGACTGATACTATCAACTTGTCTTAAGTAGAATTTTTTTTTTTAATATTCTTTTTGTTGCATAACTTTGGGTTACATGCCTCATTTAACTAAATATTTTTCTGATCATATAGCTTTTCCTA